TGATACTTTACACTGAGGAGATTTACATATTCAAATGTTTTCATCACTTTTTTCAATACTGACTGTACTACAGAATGGCTGCACTGGAAGCAATGCTCACACTATTGACTCATGAGAAGTCTGGCACTCTTTACTCTGTATCACAGTCCCAAAGACCAGCTTTCTCGTTTAACACCTCATCCATGCACAGAAGCCACTTGGAAAAAAAAAACGTGATTACAGCATTTGTTCCCACCACAGAATGGCCTAATGCTTTATTTGTGGAAAAACTCCAGCGACTTCCTGGTCCTGTGAATCTTAAAGGATAAAAAAGGAGTACTTCTTATGTAAAAGGTATGAAGCTGAGGACAGCACTGAGAAAGTAACCTCCATGAGCAAGAACTCAGACACACAGCTCTACAAAGCCCAGCAACATTTATTAAATTTAGAAGCCTTCTTTCTAAATACACTATATCCTTTAAAAACTTGATCTAAGGGGGATCACGAGAGATAGAGCACAGTGAGAGCAGAGAGACTGCTGCCTGGTACAATTCAGAAGCAATAGTGAACACACTGAAGAGTAGTTTGCTCTTCAAGCAATTTTCATTTGCTTCTTTATCAGTCATTTTTAGATAGTGTACAGTTTGAAAATGGGAGCAGTGCTAATCTGACAAGATATATGCATTTGCTAGAACTGATCTACCAACTTGTGGCATTTGCCGATTTGGTGTCCCAGCTCTCTACTGCCTGATTTTTTTTCCTTTTCTGGAAATGATGATCATAGAATCATAGAATCACAAGGTTGGAAAGGACCTATACATAAGCTAGACAGTACCTCATATTTTGGCCCGCACAACAGCAGTGAGGAATAAGCTTCGTAAACAAGACAGGGTAATAATTCACTTGCTTGAAGGCAAGACATATGAGTACTCTAAAACAACAGATTGAAATCCCAGAACTAAAATCAAGTTGGAGCTCAGGTGATTTGGAATGAACCCAAAGAAACAGAAGGTATAAACTAAACAGGACGGAAAATGCATCCAAACCAACAGGTTGCTGCTTGCAATTATTCGTGAAACAATAAAACCCACCTGCAGCCATCTCCAATCAACCTGGGATCAATTAAAACAGTAACCCAGCTTTCATGATTCAAGGATCTTTTCAGATAAGTCATAAAAGTTGCAGGAGAAAAAGAAAAAAAAAAAAAAATCATTGATGTGGTTGCTGATATACTACAAATCTAAATCTGATGGTCTAAAGAACTGTGAGCTCACTTATCTCAAGATAAGCCACCACTATTCAGTTTATATGATCTTGTTGAACACAGTATATTCAGGAGTGAACCAAGGGGTTTTTTTTTTGCACTGACAGCACTGATGTTTTTGAAGAGAAACACAAAACGACATCAAAATGTAATAACCCCTGGTACTCTAATCAGAAAAAAAAAAAAAAAGTCCTCAACATTATCAGAGATAATTCATAGATACTAAAGCCATTTTGATCAAATGGAAATGAAACACCCCAAAAAAGTAATAGTTCTGATCCAGATCCTCTGTATGAACTGGAGATAAGGGTCCAACAGACTGCTATGAATAACAGTCCTCCCAACTACAAAATGCAAATCACTATGCACTGCAAAGACAGTGTTAAGTCTCCATCAAACTCAAACTTGAACAGCTGTATTCATACTTGCACAGATTAAGGTTAAGACATCAGATCAGCTTTATTTTGGGCATTAGCTGTGCCAACGTGAAACCCTCGATGCATAGCCTTAGCTGCCACAGCTTCTGTAGCCCCTCTGGCCAGGACAGTATCAGCACTCTGATGAAGGATGCTGATACATATGGAAGGCCTGATGAGTTTCCAAACAACCTCATTTTTTGGAATGAGAAATTAATTTCAGTAGCCAACAAACTCTTGAGCTTTCAATCCCTTGAAACGAGCTTCTTAGTAGGAGAGAAGCATCGACAACTGTTCATCAGAGCAACATACCATGATGCACACTCTCGTTCACTCCTCTACCAAAGAGAGTGAGTGCTTTGAGTATCTAGTACAACAAGATGTAAAAAAAAAAAAAAAAACCAACAAAAAAAACACAGGACCACATGGCAGTTTCAATAAGAACAAAATACTTGGCAAGCATATGAACAGAACTCTGCGTGGCAAACTCTGAAGATCTCAAGCCCTTGCACACAGAGATGCACCTTGAGACCTACCATGAAGATGCCTTCTGAAAAATCTCATCTGTCTCCGTAACAACAGCTACATAACAAATGCACACATTGGCAGAAAAACTCGAATTCTACAGCAGAAACCATCCACTCAGGAGGTCTCCTGGGTATAAACGTAGACACATTCTTAAAGAGAAGCATTTCTTATGCTTACAGCATACAAAGGAATCTGTAGTCCTCCACTCACAGAAAAGCCTAGAAATAGTACTTTCTCTTCTGCATAGGGTAATGAGTTCTTAGCTGTAAATCATATTAACGGTTATGATAATCCAATTAACTCTTGTCACACAAATATAGTTGAGAATGATTCCTTGACCTCCACAGAAATCTGCTCAGCCGCTGCTAACCACTTTTAGAAACAACAGAAAGGTTATTTATAAGTAGTTGAACTTAAAAACCTCTGTACATAAGAAGGAAGAACATCTTCTGGCACTGAAAATATGAAGCATGGGTATGTTTTTTTGGGATAGGGGGAAAATTCTAGTCCAGAAAGAGCTAAGACGCTGGGAAGTTGGGGATGACTCTTAAAACTAAAAGATGGGGATGAATGCTGGGGAATGCTCTGGGACCACAGCCTGTAACACCTGAGGCTGCAAGCAACTATATAGGTGCTGACATGACTTTCTACATGATCCTCCCAGATCATCATTGACTTCAATACTCTGCACACTTTTTTCACCAGGTGGATGTGGAATCTTCATATATCAGAGTCCTGAAACACTTATATAAAATTCAAGTTGGCTGTCCTTATCATGAGGCCAATTGAGCATCCTCTCAGTTCAGAAAAATGCATTTTTCACTATGACAAAGCAGGGAGAACTGAAAAAGCATTGCAGTACATACATTGATCTGGTTTTAACAACACAGAAGGGAATTTTTCACTTTGTGACAGCCATCTAGTACACAGAGCAACAGAAGCAAAACAAAACTTCATATCTGAAGACAGCAAAAGAATTTCAGAAGAAAACAAGGAGCAACTGTAGGAAGCCGTGACCCAAAGGTCATATACTGTTTATTAAAATAGCTGAAAGGTCAAATTCTGAATCATTCATTCAAACTACGAATCTGTCAGGTTTTAAGGAGGCTCTCACTGATCTGGAGTTAGGAGAACATCTAACAGATTCAGAAGGTACACACAAAACAAATATCAGTTCTTAGGCCAAGCAACTATATCAAGAGATTCTGAAAGATGGATGGAACCATTCACCCCCTACTAACCATTCACTGAGCTAAAGAAAAACAAGATTGCTGATACCACTGGAAGATCAACTATTGTACCAGCACTGGAGAAGACAAGTCACAGTCTGGACTGAGGGACTATGAACTGTTATTGGCCGTGAAAGACCAAGAAAATGAGTAATGAGTACTGACAGTCATAAGATCAGTACAGTATCACAGGAGATTTGAAACACTCCCTTCCCAAATATCTCAGCCTGTCTGATTTAGAAGATCAATATCTGAAAATTTAAGATTTGTACTGAGTCCCAATCCTACTTGACAAAAAAAATGGACAAATAAAAAAAATTCACAAGTGAGCTAAGGAACTGTGTTAAATATACAGATCCTGCCTCACTGTGCAAAAGCACTGAAGAAATGGCCTCAGCTGAATCCTACCCATGTATAGTAAGAGCTAATACATTAAATCCTTACCAATCTTTCCAATGATTAGCAGGATAAAAATCTCAGAGCAGTGTGATTTTTTGATGCATATAAAAAGGAAATATGCAGAAAGTACCTCTAGATACTGTCAGATATATGAAAGATAGTTACATGTCTATTTATGGACAAGGAAGGATTAAAAAAAGAAAAAAAAGAAAAAGAAAAAAGGAAATAAGACATTCCCAGGAAAAAGCATTAGCATTTCTTAAATTTGCAATACATTAATTGTCTTCACCACTAAAAATATATAAAATATTCTCTTTTATTTTGTATCCTAATTACTTCTTCCAAGAGCATTATTTCAAGTCAAATTAGCACTTCTTTTCTAACTAGATCAGCACTCTCTTGCTGCCTGATCAGCAATGGTGATACTCCACATGAACAAAAAAATTACCTTTCAGACTAAAAGTAGTTGCAAACAGTTCATATACATGACTTTTTGTTGAACTGTCTCATCTGAGCTCTAACCTGTACATCTCCCTTCAATGAAGATGACAACACACTTATGGATCCTTTAACCTCCTGCAAGAAGAATCAATGAGACTCACCATCCTTCAGTATGTGTGTGAAGAAGTTCTAATTTCTGCATTGCTCTCGCTATAAATGACAGGTTTTCAATTTACTGCTACCATTCAAAAATCTGATAAAATCTGTCAAATTCCAGTAGTCATCTCATGAGCTCTTGTTGTCTCAGGCAAGTCAGCACTATGCGTGACTAAGAACGTACAGGATTTAGAAGTTTATTACAGAAAACAGTGACATCAACTTACGACACACAGTACCACCTTCCGTAAGTTTGTGCAAAATTAAAAAATAAATTCTCTAAAAATACTGCCAGATTCATTTGATTTTTTTCTTAACCACAATGAAGTAAAATGAAGTAAAACAAAATTCTGTATTGCACTCATTATAGTAATAAACCAATCCATAATATTAAACAACAGAAGGTGATGACAACAGTCAGCACATCAGTGGAAACACTGGAACAAGACAAGATTCTGGCTCAGATCCTTCCTAAGAGATATTTAACATACATACTGACAATTTACATGTAGCATTCCTACATCAGTATGAACTAAAATTAAAAAACAATGCCTCATTAAAGAGAGCTCCAAACAAATTAAATCTCACCTGAGTTACTCCACTGGGAGGAACCTTGTACGACTGCAGCTTCTGCTTCAGTAGCTCAGGATCGCTGTGGCGGAATGGGCATCCTGACAGCAAAACAAGCAAGCTCACAAACAAGGCTGTTTACCCAGAAGGGAGCATAGTAACACACTCAAGAGACCTAATTGTCTAACAGCTTACTAATATACAAGTTAATTGTCCATATGTGCAACTATTTTTTTCTTTAACATTTTTTTTTTAATAATAATTACTCCACTGCATTGTCAGCAGTACACCAGAAGCCCAAGAGTTACATGAAATATCCTAATATAAACAGGCCACAGTTGTCACTCACTGACAGGAAAGGAGACTTAGTTAGTACCTTACTTACAGTGATAGCACTGGTACATTTAATATCTGTGAAAAACCAGGAAGAAATAAGTAGTAAGAGTAGTAAGAAGTAATAAGTAGTCTTTAAAGCATAGCCCTTTGTAAAACTGTTACTTTTGAAAGCTCCAGCCTTTGAATAAGGGTTGCTTTTCTTGTGTCCCAGAATTAATCTTGTGAGAAAACTAAAGGAAACAACCTTCAGAACCATCTCAGGGGTTTTGTAGAAAAGGGTAAATGTGGCACTGAGAAAAATAGTTTAGCAGGCATGGTGGTGATGGGTTGATTTTTGGACTAAATGGCATTAGTATTCTATCCAACCTTAAAAATTCTATGACTGTGTTAACTAGCACTAGAGTTACAACAGTAAGGCTGGTGCACATTTCTCTCACTAAATCACACAGGGGTAGGAGGTTTTAAACTACTGCAGCAAATGTAGGAACTCATGTTTGATTTAATTCATATCTCAGAGCCCCTATAAGTGTTCACACTCTGTATGTGTACACAATACATACAGAGCTAGAAGCCACCAAGCGTGATCTAAAAAGAATATTGCAAGACCACTGTAAGCTTGAAATTAAAAACGTAACTTAAGAGACTACAGGGGTGAGTAACGTGACAGACACTGTAGAAAAAAATCCTTCAGATAATTTCTCAGTATAAAACTAATACTTGTGAAAATATGATCTTAATCTGAAGTGAGAATTTTAAGAAGACCAAAACATAATTTTTGTTTGAGTAAGGAAACTAGTTTCATAAAACTGGCTGTGCAAATAAGTTCAGTGTAAAAGATAATGCTCAAACACTATGCATGCCACATAGTCACTATTTTGACCTCTGTTCAGCATTACACATCATTGCAAAACAAATTGCTGAAATATTTATTTCTTTCTTAATATTGAAAAAGCATTGTAAACTCAGATCTTGTTAAGTTTCTCTTTGCAGTATCTATCTTGTCAGGGTTACATACATGTAAGCCATGACTTCCACAGTGATAACTTAAACACTGCAGTCCCCAGTAGATACACACATCAATATTTGGTCATTTATAAATTTACATTTTACTACAATTAGAAATAAAGAATACAGAAGAGTCCTGAACGTCCTAAACTTCTGAAAAACAAGTGAGTTAATATTAGTAGAGTAAGTTTGCCATGCTGAAAGCACAGATTGAAAGGATTGCACCTTTTTTTTTTTTTTTTTTTCTACACACAATGTGGGAAGAAGGGGAGGGAAGGAAAAAGAACCAAAGTTGAGTACAAAATTGAACTTTACTTGCTGAATGATACCAGTTAAGAAAGACTAATCACAAGAAGAGTAGCAGAGAACAGCAGTGGCTACCTTAATTAGTAGTCAAACTAACTAACTTCCACTTAAAATCAAATGCAATCTCCATGGTTCTCTTCTTTAGCCAAGGGCTTCCAATATTTTTGAACCTGTTGGTTTTAGGAACTCACCATGATAATCCCCTTGACTTGGTGGATTGGACATGATAATCTTCATGCAGCTGTACGGGGTATAGTCTGTTCTCTTTCCTTCTTTCCCATAGTTGTGGCGAATGCTGTACGCGTATCCTTTGTCAAACTGAAACAACAAAAGAATATATTTTCACATACCATATCGAGTCATTATTCTGTCTACTCTGCCAACAGAAACATTGGATTAGAAAGCAAATCTTCCAGACCTACTCAAATTTAGAGAAATGGAATTGCTTTCTGTTAGTTTTGATTTTTACATTATAAGGAGTTGTAAGTATCTGTATGCACGTTTTATACACACATAAGAAGAGAACTAAAAATTAAGACCTTTTAAGCAGATGAAGGAATCAATAAAGTTAAGATGATTTAAAGATCAAAACTGTGAACTGTATGATGTTAGTAAATGGAGAAGATGTTGTAATAGTAAACCTTTCATAAGTGTCCACAAATCAATGGCTTTATCAGCGAAAAGCCAAAATTACAGACTTCTTTACTGAGGTTCACATTTTTGTTATCCTAAAGCATAACGGTTCTCCTACACTTTGCTTCAGCACTGAAATTCACTGTTTTTGGTCTAAAATTGAGTATTTTTGCTTGAAAACTGTACAATTTTAGCAAATCTCTTTTGTCTAACAATAGAGTGTCAGCTCCCACCAACTCCACCAATAAAATTAAGAAAGAAACTAAAATAGGCATAAACAAGTTACGTCCTGTAAATAAGGACTTAGCTAAAATGATTTCAAGTTATTTTAGACGTAGCCATTCAAGCACACAACTGGTCACATCCACCAGTCCAAAATTACCCCTATTTCTACACATAAAATTAATTGCCTGCTAAATAATTCAGAATATTCAGACAACTGTGAAATATCTTAACCTGCTAAAATTCATTCAAAATATAACAGAAGTATGCTTTTCGTAATCTAACATTTGAAAAATTTGATTACATATATAACTCAAAACCTACAACATAATAAGCAAATACATAAAATGTTTAAATAAACTTTTGAAAATAAACATTGAAACATACACTGCGCCTGTCTAGATGGATAAAAAAGGAACTTCTTTATCAAGATGCTGTCATAATCAAGTTAATTGTGTTTCCCAGCACAGCCAAGACAGGATGTAGCATACACGGATAACCTATCTAGTAAATCCTATTAAGCAGGGGGAAAAAAAAAATAGCACATTTGTTTGCTTGCAGAGGGGAGCTGGGTTTATCAACAGCATTAACTACGGACAAGGAGGAAGACCGTACAAGGATCTTCCTTCAGGAAGGGCAGGTAAAAGAGGTATCATCCTGCAGTGACACAAGCAGCAGCTGTAGGCTGAGAGTTGCTGCTGCAGGGGCTGCAAAATACAAACACAGCCTTTGCAGCTGTCAGCTGTAGAGAAGCTTAATACAGCAAAAATCAATAGTCCTGTGCACTGCAGCAACAGATAGCATTATAATAGTGAAAACGTGATATTAGTAACCTTTGTGTAAATCCATTAAGTTATGTGTGAAGCCCGTGAACATACAGCCACAAATTCTTACAACCAGAAGCTCTGGAACCTTTCGTCCTTCTTCACAAAAAATTAGATGAATGCATATTTCATTTGATTAATGAAGGATATATGTGTAAGCAAGTCGAAGTAAATAGTTCTTTATAAGGGAAAACCAAATCTTCACTGCTTTAGTTTGCAAAATAATAAATACAGCCCTCTGACAGTGCTGCATACTAGAAACCTGAGCTATGCTTTTCTTATCACTTGTCTTAATGCCCCACAGAAACTGTTACTACCCAAAATGATTTTATGCTGAGATGCGAATTTTGTAGTAACAGCTGCAGGGTAACACAACATGGCCTTGGGACAAGTTGGGTATCTTCACACTGCTTTCTTTACAGACCTCTTTGGATCTCCTGAAGCCATTTCCAATCAGTTCCACTTTGTTTCACTTAAATGTTCTTTAAGCCAAACTTATTTTAATTCTTCCTTTTAGTAAGACTACAATAGAACAGTATTCTGAAAGCTAAAACACATAAATACAAACAGCTGCTGCATGTGAACCTAAAATTCTAAGATATGAGAAGACTTCATCATCTACATACTTGGGTGAGAATCTCTTAAACTGCACTGAACAGAGAAGCCTTAAAAGCTTAAAAAATTGGAACAACTTTATAAATCTGATTTTACTCTAGCATGTAATTATAACTGCTTTATTCTTTTATATAACAGAAATACTAGCACTAAGGAATGGAGGAAGAAATTGCAGAGAGGCTTTTTTGCTTGCTCGTTTTTCAACAGTGGCCATTCTTCTGAAATCGATACAATCAGGATAAGTGGCTGGTCATGGCAATCTGTTGAAATTACCATGAGCTGCCTAAAACAAATATTGTTCTAGGATTATTTTTTAAATTCAGAAAACACATACACAGTATCTTTGTGGCTACTTGGCAGAATTAATGCTGTCCCTATAAGCACTGCACTACCCAACCCGTATTTTCTATGCTGTACTTTGGGAATTGAGCATAAACTCCCCAGCAGTCACTTTCAAAATGCAGACTCCACACTGCAGAGCCTTCACATGCAAACTATTCATTTCTCTAACAGCAAAGGTTAGCAAAATTTACATCTGTAAGAGAAAGTATTTCATAATGACTAATATTTGCACAGCTGGGCACCCGCTTCTTCAAGTTTTCAACTTCTTGGAATCTTCACAGCAGCAGACGGAAGAAGTGGTACAAGTCAGTGTGTGCACATTTAGACAATTTCACCTCCTGACCTTCTGATTCTGTTTCTTATTGTTGATCACAGAAACAGACTTTTAGCCACACTGATTTCCAGCAGGCTGTGCAGTACTCCTTAATGGAAAGAAATCATGAATTGAGGAATTTCATTTCAGAAAGCACATCCTGAGGAGCAAGCCCTGTGTACTGGGGGATGAACTCAATGACCAGAAAAGCTCTTTCCTAATACTGTTGCTCTAAGGTATGCACAAAGAAAAATCACCCCCAGAAGCAATTTCTGCCAGTGAATATACACATATGAGTGCAGATATAACTAGATGTGTTTGAAATCTAGACATAGGGAATTGTCCCTTCCCTTCATTCCAACTTTCCCAGTAGATGTAGTATGATTCCCCCACTTACTTAAACAAGAAATTGTATGCAGAACATATCATGCATGTCAGTGTTCGCAGGGTTGTTCTAATTGCTCATAAATTACTTGCTTTTAAATTATTCCAGAAAACAACATTTCAAAACTATAAAATGCCTATTACAGTATAGACCAACTACTAGATGCCACAAGATTATTATGGCAGAAAACTATAAAAAGTGACTTTCCACCAAGACAAGCAAAAAATAATCAGGCAAAAAGCAATTCTACTAATGCAGAAAAGCTAACTATGTATATACATCCACCACAGCCTGCTTTGTCACTGATCGAAAGTTATTGCTAAAGTTGCAATATAATAGCAGTCCTAAAGGAACATCCTCATATTATTGAGCAACTACCTACACTAGATCACCTACTGTTAGTAATAGTTTAGAACAGTGATTTTTTGCAACTTTTAAAAATATGGCCTCAACTACCTAAATTGTTTTTCCTCTGACCAGCTCTCAGAGCTTTCCAATATCTGTCAGGAATTTGTAACTTATGTCCAAGTGTAGGGTTGATGACTAATGGCTTTAATGAGAAAGAAAGGGATCAAGAAATAGGTCTGATTTAAGCAGTGAACCATTCAACCAAAAGTCAAGAAGCTGAGAACGCTATCCTCCATCAAGTCTGTCAATTTAGTGCTGGCATGTGCAAATCTAAGAATCTAAGCACCTACTTTTTTTCTTTTTTTCTTTTTTTTTTTTTTTTTTAATTTTAAAAGAGTGCAAGTAAATTGCCTGATCTTAAACTTGTTCCCTGATGACAAAAAACTTTGAGGACTTTTCTTTCCTCTGGACATAGCTGTAGGATACACATGATGTCTGTACTGAGATACTCCACAGAAAAAATGTAAGTAGGCAGTTTTGCAGGTTACTATGTTCCGGACAAGAATTTACAGAAATGATATTTTCAGAAGAGCTTGATTACATAAATATGAGATCTTTGGGTAGGTGAATTCAAAGTAGCAATGGTGTTAAATCATTATTTCTGTAACTCAATCAGAAATAAGAAAATTTGCTACAGATGTAGCTTAATTGGGATCAAAGTAATTCTGGACACTTTTTGCTCGTGAGGGGAGAAAGGCAGTAAAAGAGAACAGCTGGAAGGGGAAAGGGAAAAAGGGAAGCTGAAAGGGCTGTCAAATGTGATCAGTGCTTTCCAGTGGTCTCTGTAAATCAGCCTTGTGCCTGTAACTTGTAGCAGGAACAGTTTGTTTCCACTGTACTCCTCTAATCTGCCTCCAAGGTCAGCAGGTTTCTGGCAAGCTTTCCCTGCTATCAGTGAGGATTCTCTGGGATCCTTCCTAACACCAAAAGGGAATGGAAGGAGGGCACCATCTAACAGCCCTGTCCTTCCCCTACCACCTTGAACAGTGATGTTCCTTTAAGAGGCCTGTGATCTCAGAATATCCAGCTCAATTTGGAGTTGTTGGGATGCTGCTAATAAAGCTCTCAGTTTTTGTTTACTCTTTAAAAAAAAAAAAAATAGGCATCCAGAGATGCCATTCAGCTGTGGGGGGGAACCACACACTTCCAGTATTCCATGATTTACAAGCACATCACTGACTCTTCTGTTGCTGTTTTTTCAAAGCGTTTACTGCATTTCTATATTCAGAAATGTCAGCTGATGTAGTTTTTAAGTGTTTCTTTCAGCAGAAGTTAAGAAGTAAATTAACAGCATTGTTAACTTTATCAGAAGTGGTAGTCAGAGAATAACAGTATCCAACATACTTAATTCAGTGATAACACTTCATGTTCTCTGCAAAAGATGTGAGAGTATTAACAGATTGCAAAGCAGACAAGAATTTGGCATGTAGTACAATAACAAGGACTAAAAAAGTTACACAGAAGTAGAATAGTAACAGATTTTGTGTGCATCTATAGGAATAAGATTCAGCTCCAGACATCTAAATTCAGACATCTCCCATTATTGTCAATGGAAGTCGATGCAATCGGAGGAGTC